GGCACCATGGTATGGCCAGTGACGTCAGCCGTGTTCAAGCCTGTCGTCACCATGACATCCTTCTTGACCGATGGCATTTCGCTCGCATCGTACCTCAATTGCATGACATTTGACAATTTGCAAACGCTTGGTGGCCCCTTCCACACCACTTCAGCCCCCTTTGTTTCAGCTTCAGGATGGCAAGAGACGTGATGGTCAACCATGGATCCGAAGCTAGAGCATTGGAGTCGTAGTAGTGGCCACCCACCGTGCTGGCCTCAGAGCTGCATAACTACACTAACTTGGCGACACTGGACCCATGTTTAGCACCATTCTCACTTTGTTCTGCTCTTGGCACAAGAAGCTTGTTGCACAAGAGAAGATTCTACTCTTTCTCTGCACACAACAGCACGCATGTGCCAGCGAGGCATTCAATGCTTGGACTACAGCCTGTGCTCTTCAAAGGGAACTTCCTGTGACAAAACGCCCTTAAAGTGCAGTAGCACCAAGAATTTCGAAGCGACACTATCAATACCCACCTCCGCCAGACCCTGCAGCCAACATGATAACACACTGTATCACACCAATTACGACCCTGTATGCCTGTCTACCAAGAACTATAAACAAACTGGGAAGCCCGGCATCAGTGCAATCTGTGCCGGCATGGATGTGCACGCCACAGCAGTTCGTGGCTGAGCAGGTGCCCTCAGTTCGGTGTCCCTTTGGTCCATTTTTGGCCAATTTTTACGAGGCCCTCGCAGTCTCAAGGCAAGTCAAGTGCTGGAACAAATCAAATCAAGGACCCTGATAGATCCAGAAATTTAGCCCAAAGCTGGTGACGCCAAGTGGCCGTACAGTGGGTGTCGAGACCGGCAGTGAGAATCCACGACAGTGTTTGGACGCCCTCCAAGGAGGTCACGGCCATGTTTCCTTCGGAGCAAAGGTTTGACAGTTGAGCTTTCCAAGGTGGAAAGCTCTTTCGGAGGACTTCACGCAGGATTCAGGATTCCAATGTTGTCATCTCTCAAGCAACTCTTCTGCTAACTCGCTCTCGGCCAAACATGGCCAAACAAGTTCCATGCTTGTGATTAATAAAAGGTTCGGTTGGTATCCGTTGGTCTGTTTGTGTCTGAGCTAGAATGGATCCGAGCTCTTTAAAGACACGCTATCCCTACAAAGTGACCACAGTTGTGCTGGTCCGATGGTTGGTGAGTCACTCATTTCCGGAAATTCTCCTGCTGTCATCAAGCTGCCAGTGTAGGTGGGATAGGGGCTAAAGCTTGGCACGTTGGCCTCCGGTGACTTGGCTCAAACCGCTCAGTGCTGCCATTTGACTCATGGAATAGGGTGAGTTGCCACTACATGTTAGGCTTTCTGTCTGCAGAAAACGCCTCGAGTGTCCAAGGAAACGACTTCAATCAACACGAACATTGTTCTTCAACATGGAAACCAATCTGTTGAATCCACGCTTGGTCCGGCCAGGCCGATGATGCCACAGGCGATGCGCGCTCCGGTGAAGTCATGAATCACCATGGCTCGCCCCAGAACATCTGCAGCACTTAACCCGGTGGCCACAGCCACATCAGTGGCCAAAGCACCGCCACTGCTGCTGGAGTTGTACCTGGAGTCGAACAAAGCGGAGATGGTTCAACAAGGCAGTGAGTTAGGTGTTCATCCATTCGCCATGCCTTAGTCTAGTGACTAGTGGCATCTTCCTACCATATCTTTGCCATGCTCCCTACAACTCTCCCTGCAGCTTGGTTGCATGATTACCAACCAAGGGTCGGTGTTATAGTCGCTGCTATCCCAATAATGACCTGCAAAAGACATGAAGTCTAAACCAGTCTAAGCTTAATATAACCTACTTCGATCTTCAACCAACTCAAACAAGCATGCCTGTAGCAATCGAACAATATATATAATATTTGAGCAGTTTCCAGTATAGTATGGTACCAAAATTGTATCAAAGTTATTCTATCCTTGGCCTGAACTTGGTACCAACATGACGACACGTCACCTCCAATCGTCGTTGCATCACTGCAGTCCGTGCCAACGTGAATGTGCACGCCACAGCAGTTGGTCGCCGTGCAGGTCTGGAACGGGCAGGGAAGGCCACATCAGCAACAAGTTCTGGATGAGCTGTTTTCAACTTGTTTCCTTACTCTTCAAAACATCAAGACTTTGTCTGGTCCAAGTGGCCATGGAACAATTCTGGTCTAGCCCAGTCAGACTCCACGAAAGCGTCTGCGTGCCCATAGCATCTGCAGGCCGCTGTCAGGTCACGGGTGATAGAAAACATTGATCGAAGAAGGTCGGAACCGGGTGTGAAAGCGACCGCAAGCGCAGAAAACTCCCAAAGGGCCTTCCGAGCTGATGACAGACATGACACCATCCACGGTTCCAGAGTAGGTTGTTCCCGGATATGGGCTCCAGCTCGCAACCTTAAAACCATTTAAAACCAAACCAGCCCTCAACGGTGAAGCAAATCCGCACATCGAACGTCAACTTGATAAGTCCTTTCTGAGGGACAATAGCACTGCTCACCGGCATCTGGATTGGTGCACAAGCGATGCGGCCACCATTGAAGTCATGGATCCTTACAAAAGAAGGAAAACTTAAGGCTGCTGATGCTACCCACGAAAGCTCCAGATTCAAGGAAACCAAATGCAGAACATCACAATTGACGGCCAACGCGGCCAAACCAAACAGGAATTGATCTGAGTGTTTTGGGCAAAGCGCAAGCAGGTGGAGGGTCAAACAACTCCAAAAAACGGCTGACAAATGCTGACAGAGTTCTTGCGTTATGTCCTTTTACCTGCCTTTCAATCCGCCTTCCCAAAACGATGAGCCAACAATTTCCGACCAACCTGCGGAGGCAAACATTGAGTTCACTGAAACATTGGATGTGTCAACCAATCCTGACAAGCGCTACAAACAGGCAAACCTACCACCCTGTCGTCCCAACGCTGCGTCTGCCTCTGCATCGCAGACTGGACATGGATGTAACTGGAGACTGTACAAAATCATAAATGTATACAGCATGTTGCATTTGTACATGTATATATATATTACACGTCACATGTGTTTTCATTTAGGATTAAAAACAAATCGAAACATGTTCCAGTGACACTTGCTGAGACTTTGGCAGAAATCAAACATCCCCGCACCTATCTGGAAATTGTTGTGGATTATCACTAGACCGAACCAACCAAATCCCAACACAACCCAGCACATCACAGCCAACCACACGTGATCTGCTTTTAAACATTGTGGACGTGACCGGCTTTGCCAAATGCAAACTACTTGGCAACCAATCAACTGATATCAATGGCACGAAACCATGCATGGTTCCAAAAAAAAATGTCGAAACAAACAAGTGTTTGCTGCTCGATGATGTCAAGCGTCACCATCGCACGTTTGTTGATGTTGGCGGTGTCGTAGCCAGTTGCCACCACAACTCCACTCGCAACAGCTGGCACGTTCTCGGCGCTGTACCTGGCATGATTTGAAAAACACAAGAAAATAGCATCAACATGAATCAACAACGGGATCAGTGGGTTATCTGGTTATCTTTCAATCAACTCCTTCTGCTTTCTGCTGGTCAAAAGTGTATGCCAGTTGCAACCAATGCGGTTTTCGGCTGTCCCTATGAAGCATTCAGCATTCACCGGGCAGGCCTGACGGTTAACCAAGGATCAGTAGTGTAGGCTTCTGCATTCCAGTAGTGCCCCCCCAACAGTTGCTGCGTCACTGCAGTCCATGCCCACATGGATGTGAACCCCACAGCAGTTCGCTGCAGTACAAGCGGAGGCCTAGGCCACAGAAGGGTATGGGAGATTTCCAGGTGGTTCAGGTTCACTCACTCCCAACATTGATACAATTGACATCGTGATCTGACAACATTTCCCAACACCCAACAAACATGTTGCCACTTGCACCCACCCTGAAGAAACCCTGCACATACAAACGAAACAAACTGACATGATATTTGTATGTATATAATATATAGCACCCCCCCCGTGAGATCCACCTTTGATGCTCCTCCAAAGACATATACTTGCACACAAGCAGACTTGCCAGACTTGGGATTTTCAAGTCTGAGCAGCTGTCAGACTTGGGACTCAAGATTGCAATCCAGATCCTTGGGTTGAAGATTGAAGATGTCACCGGACTGAACAATCAAGTATGTTACAAGGATCTGGACTGAAGATTTCTGGCCAAGAGTTTGTGACATCTTCAATCTTGCATCCGGGGATCTGGATTAAAGATTTCTGGTCAGGTGCTTTGCGACCCAAGGATCTGGATGGAAGATTTCTGGCCGAGAGTTTTGTGACATCTTCCATCTTCCATCCAGTGATCCAATAGTCTTGTGAAGTCTGGAACGGGGAAGTGAGATTTGACATGATCACTTCTATAAGCGTTCATTTCGGAATTTCTATTGGTGAGCCTAATCCTTGCTTAACTTCCAACTGGACTCGGACAAATTATTGATTGTTTTTCATTCCAGAATTCTAACAGAGCCCTAATGAGTCAATTTCTAATTTAAAACTTTCTAAGTGAGTCCTCATTGAATTGATAATTCAACTCTAACTAAATACAAACTGCTTTCTAGTTGAGTGCCTCTACATCAAAAAAAAGTTTTATATATAAGCTGCTTTTCTATGGATCTCTGGATATAGGTTCAAATATAGGTCCCAAAACATGAAAGTCAGCTATTAAACCCTAAAGCCTGTCTGTCCCTGTCTTCTCTTTGTCCGCTTCCTCTGTTGGATCCCTATGACAGCTGGTAACTTTTCCTCTACAGCGTCTGCACTTGGTCACTTCATTCCCAGTGCTTGCCTTCTAAAGCAGTCTCGTATGCAAATGCACTTGCGTACGCTGGCAAAATCTGCTTGCAAATTTGCACACTCAAACTCACTGCATACTTACCTGAAGTATGCAGTGAATTTGATCATGCGTGTGTTAGGAAGAGCATCGAAGGTGGATTTCAGGGGAGGGTAGCGTACATACGTATGTATATATATATACACGTCCTGAATCTCAGCTCAAGTGGCGTTGCAGCTTGCATCAACCCCACCTGTAAAGATCCACGATAGCGTCTGCTTTCCGTCCCTTGGTGTGGCCATTGAAAAAAAGAACATGATGCCGTGGTTCAAAGTGAGCAGAAGATCAAAATTCGTTCCCCACAGGACTTCCACAACAGGCCAGGAAATCACCGGGGAAATACATGTAAGTTTGAAGGTTCACTGCCGAGAGACGCAGAAGTGACGAGCATGGATCCCTTGGTTCGCAAATCTCCGGTGTAGCCGGGGTATGTTCTGAAGCCACTGACCGTCGCCTCTCGGAAAACAAACTAAGCAGGACACGTTTTTTAACTTTTCTGATCTGATTATATCTGATTATGCCGTTGTGGGTTCATCCGGTATTCCAACTCAGTGTCGAAAAGGCTCTGAACAGACTCACCGACTGCTTGTAGCGACAAAGGGGCACAAGGAGGTTTGTTCTTTTTCATGAATCGGCGTTGGAATTGAAATTGGGATCTTTGAAGACTTACTTGTAAGCATGAGAGCCCTTATCAACCCCTGGGTTTTAGCATTGTTCTGCAAAATACTTACTTCGACTGCTGCCCAGCCTGAGAAACGGCTTGGATGAAGACGGGGTACGGGTATTGACAATTTACCGTGACATGTGCACTGACATAATGCTTTGAAATGGCATGAAGTTTGGCACGGGGTACCAGTTCTGTGAAGTATAAGGCCACCCTGCCCTTAGGCAGGCGGCGGCAAGGTGCGGTAGGACCCCGTTCCCGCAGGGGATTCAGGGTAACCTATTGATCGCAGGTGCAAACTCACAGGCAGGTCAAATCGTTGCACACAATGGCTGACCCCGTTCCCGCAAAGGATTCAGGGTAGACTAGCTGTATATAAAGTCTCACTCGAAATGCAAGAGTGTGTTCTGACATGTTTTCTGCTGTCAAGTCTGACACGTGTGCTGACATACCTTCTCGCACGTACTTCATCAAACCTGCCGTGTTGTGACATGTGGCCCGACTTCCGTTGTGATGTGTGTTTGAGATTGGCTCTGTCATGTAATTAGTCTGAAGCTTGTGCTGCCAATCATGACAAGGATTGGAAAGGTCAGGGGTTTGTCATGGAAACACCCCTTTAGTTGTGGGAATACTATTTTGGAGAGCTGTAGAAATAGTTATTTTGGAACTTCGTGAGATGGACCCGATCTCGTGCTCCGGCAGAAACATCAGACTCTTTGTTCTGACATGTGTTCTCTCACCTTGGGTCTGACATTTCTTCTGGTATGTGTTCTGGGGAGAACTAGCAAAACTCGAGCGCGCACCACACTCTGCAGCCCGAACTGGTAAGCGCCCAGCCCACCATACAAGCCCGGAGCACACCATACCGAAGTCAAACATGAGCAGCCGCAGCAGGAGGAGGAGGACAAGGAGGAGGAAGGAGGAAGGAGGAAGGAGGCAGGAGGAAGGAGGAAGGCGACGTGAGTGGTGAGCAGAAGGGAACACTGACACAACATCTAGAGATCCTCACCTGACAGGTGGGGAGAAACTCAGCCCTGATCGTAACCGGTTCCCTGGCGTTTACGCTGCTGGGGTTCTTGCTGCTTTCTGGCTGGACTGGCTATACTGGCTGGCTGTCTAAAGAAAAGCCAATCCAAAGAGCTTGCCTGTTTGGTTGCTGTGTGAGGACTTGGAATTTCCAGAAGTACCACACCCCTTGAATGCAATTGTAGTTCATTGATTGCATATTTTGTTAATTACCGTTTGAAAACTGCCTCGCGAGTCTTTGCACTACTCTTAGCCTTCCACTATTCACTGTCTGGCTGGCGGTCCAGGCTGCCTCAAAAAGACCTGCTTTCTCAATCCCCTACATGCCCATCACTGCGTCTGGACTGCTTTCCAATTACCTGAGCCCTCATACTTATACCAGCCTGGGTATTCCCTACCAAAAACGTGGTTCGCGGGTTGTATACTAGCTCCCATTCTCTTCTCAACACCATGCCCCACTAAATGAAACACGTAACACAAGAAACAAAACAACAGTCCAGCATCTCAGACTTACTATTTTTGGGGTCCCATGGGACCCGTAGGGATCTGAAATGGGAATCGTTTCTGTAGCAACAAGAAGCTCTGTAGGTCTTTGAAGCTTCTTAGTAACAAGAAAGTGTTTTCTTCTAAGTCCTTCTGCGCCTTGTGGATAAGACCACAGGCAATGCGCGCTCCTGTGAAGTCGTGGATCACCATCGCCCGGCCCAAGATGTCTGAGCCCATCAAACCGGTGGGCACAGCCAGGGATGTTTCTAAGCTAGGATCGGAGCTGGCATTGTACCTCAGAAACTGACGCTCAATGCAGTTTGATCGTATCATATATATAGTATCTATAGATCTTCATACATCTGCTACTTTGCCCACTCCAAGCACTCTGACTCTAGGGTGGTAAAACTTCTCGACCCCTAGTGTATCCAACAGTTGACGACGACCAAGACTAATTGATCAACTCTAGCTAGACGTCTGTAGGTCCACGTTATTAGGCATTGTCCCGCCCAGTCAAACTACGTGATGTGCTCCAAGGGGCATCACCGTAAGCCATGGGTCTGTCGTATATGTTGTGGAATTCCAGTAGTGGCCTTCCGAAACAAAGTGTCATGGCATTCATTATGTAGCCTCCAAGGGCTTTCTCCACCTTCAACACCAAACATCGAAAACTCCATGGTTTGAAGCGCCTTTAGTCTAGAACAAATCATCGGCAACGTATGTATGCCCTTGGGGAAACGTCAGTCTTCGGTGCAGCTACAGTGAAAAGACTGTGAAGACCGGGATGAAGAAGAATGGATTTTAAAATCAATCAGGACAAGAAACATATTAACATATAATGCCCTCAGGCGAGGGAAGCTTCCTTGAAGAAGCATGAGCTATCCTGCGTGCTAGTAGCTTACCTCCTAGGGTCTCCAGGCGGTCTTTTTTTCTGTTGAACCGGCGTCCCTGCGATGCGCCGACTGCTACCCTAATCAAATGATTCGGGTCACGCATGGCCACCCAAGGCCGCTCGCGTGTCCCCGGGAAACCTTTGGCAACGCAATTGATATAGCTCATTATAGCTCCCCTGTAGTTGGGGTCGGTGGTGTATCTTTTCGTCTGGCCTGCCTGCCGCTCAAAAAGTGTAAGTTGCTCGTATGGGCTCACCCACCTTTGCGCTTTGTACACCTCCACCTTTGTTATTCTGCTGCCTTCTTTCCACACCAACATCACCAACGACATCTTCCGGTGAGCCCACTGCATCAGCAACAATCCCCACCCTACCCCTACAGGATCCAAAGCAATGCAAATGCGTATAGCAATATCTTCGTAAGCCAAGACTGTATTCGAGCGACCTTCGGCGGAGGGCGGCTTTCATGTCATTCGTAGGTGTTCGTAAGGGTCATAGGGTGCTAGTAGCGTTGGGGTGGGATGACCTGCTAGTGCTTCAATCTACAAAGTTCAGGCGACTCGGCAAAAGCGCAGGTGTTTGACGGACATAGAAGCTTTTGTTCCTAGTAGTTTCTTGTTACTACTAGCGATGGCCTCCAACCTAGTAGTTTCTTGCTACTAATATTCAGATCGCGTTCGGCCTCCCACAGAGTCTGCATCACCGCATGTCATGCCCTCGTGGATGTGTACCCCGCAGCAATTTGTCGCGGTACAGGTCTGCAGGGCGGAGGATGGATACGGCCAAATGTCGATCAAATCAAAAAAACTCGGTCTGAATTCGCATCGTTCAAAAGGCATATCATGCGGCATATTCCCACTACAAAGCTGAGCAATTCCACAAACATATTATTCAGGCTCCAACCGTAACTATAAGTTGTTCCTTTGTTCTTGGCGCGTCGTCGATGATTCTTCAGCCTCTGAGCATCGAGAGTCAATATTCGACAGACTCCATGAAAGTGTCTGTACACCATCTTCGCCTGAACGCAGTGCACATTTGTCTCATCGTTTCTGTGCATATCGCTCTAAGGTATCTCATGCCAAGCTGCTTGTCACGGACATGACACCGGAGACAAGAGACAAATCACCTGTCGTCAAAAGTGAACGTGGTGAACGATTCCGAGGAAGAACAAATATGTCGAAGTCTTTAGTCACTTCAGTCGATTCTGGATCCTCCAGTCAAAGCTTCTGAGGTCCTCACCAGTGTAGCCGGGGTAAACTCCGAAGCTCCCAACAATGGCTTCATGTTGCGCCAAGCACCGCCACAAGCCACCTGAGATGGGCCAAACTCTAGCTGTTCAAGAACAAGACCTGAATTTAAAACCTTTTGAAGATAATATGTTTGTTTGTAAGGATAGTTTGAAGTCTCAAACCAGGTTGAATCAAACAATTTCTAGGGTTCTGTCACGGGCTCTAGGTCCTTGCTCACCACAAAACTTTGCAATTGCACAACAACTTCCGACAGCAGAAACCAAGGCTAGAAAGGGTTTCTGATGACTTCTGCAACTTGAGGATTTTGAGGGCGTGTTGGGGTTTTCGTATTCCTTCAGTACGTTGTTCAATGTTCTCGACCCGTGTTCGGCCCGCCGGTTTAGACTTGAATCGGTT